GGAGGTATTGTAGTTTAACAATCTTGTCTTCCGGTTCATTGCCGTGCGTTTTGACACGCAATTAACAATGCAGTAGGTGTGCCAGCTCATGAAATTTTGACGAAATTCTGAAATGAGTTTTCGTTTCGGGAAGATCGATTAAAGTAGGGATTTGGTGTCCGTGCGGCTTGTCCTTTCGTCCCTTTTGCGTATGCAGCGGTTGGCGAAGTTGTGCGGGTAGCCATTGGCTTTGATGACCCGTCGGAGTTATTGTAGTTCGGCAGTCTTGTCGCCCTGCTCACTGCAGTGCGTTACGACACGCCGATAGACCGTTCTTACACAACTGCGCTAGTGGCTGACTAGGTGGTTGCTGCTAGAGTTCAGTACATGTATCATGTTTGCTGCTTTCCTGAACGCTTTGGTCGTTAGGCCACCACAATCTTTGCGGCGTACGAGGACATCCAGGTAGGCCAGCTGGTTGTTCTCTTCCTCCCGCATCGTAACTGGAATATCCAGGAAGGCTGCGCTGAGGCGTTCTTTGAATGTCAGCATTTGATCGCAGTCGATGCTGACGAAGGTATCATCCACACACCGGGCCCAGAACTTCTGTCTGTGATGTTGGAAGCCCAGCGATTCTAACCGTTGCAGGACCTCCTTGGCCATTGGTGTGCCCCTCACTTGTTCGTATATTGTCCCGTCGAACGTGAAGTACGTCCTGAGACAGGACTTCAGAAGCCGATGGACTTGGACGTGTCCAAAACGATCCTCCTCTTCATCGTATTTGCATTGTTAAAGCAACTTGATTGCCTCGATCGCCAGATCCTGGGGGAGAGAGATAAAAAGGGACGTAACATCGAAATATACCATGACCTCAGTTGGATGAAGACTTACCCCTTTGAGTTTATCCAGGAATTATTCAGACGAATAGACGGTAGTGTCTGCCTCAGTGGTCAGGATCTTGAGAAGTCGGAACAGCCAATTAGCCAGTTCGTACATTAGAGTAACTTTTAGCGAAGCAGGAGATCGGCGCGGAGCGGCCTCTTTGTGCACCTTAAGGAGGCCATAGAATTGAACCAAAACCGTATCTTGGGTCTTGCCATGCTCTTGTCCCAGCTATCCTGTAACCTTCTTCACGGCTGCTTCCTGGGACTCGTCCCTTCGCTTCCATTGGCAACATGCTTATGTATGACTGGGAACTCGTTTGGTTAATCCCTTATCTATAGAAAGGGTACAAACGTTTGTAATATTACGACATGACGGATACTGGTCACTGCCACGTAGCATTTCACCCGACAGAATCCTTAAACCCGAACTTGGTGTTGCTGTTGGGACAGATGCAGACGTCTGCCGTCTAATCCAAGATCTACAGTTACCCATCTCTATAAACACTGCCATTGTCCGGTCGGCAGCGGTCAACCGGACTTTTGGACTCTCACAAGGCTATTTTCTTCGCCCTCCAGATTTTCTCGGAGCAGGTAGCACCAAGAAAGGTCGTTCCTAACCCAACGCCATTTACAAGCCTGGAGCTTCATGTTCCTTTCCGCCAAAGCTGCGCGGCACACGGCCATAATGTGTTACTGAGGTTAACAGAGAGTTGATTAGAGATTTCCTCGAATGTTCGATTTCGAGGTTCTCACTCCTTTGGCCTTTTAGCACTGTGCTGGAAATCCTTTTTCGCCTTCTATTTATGGCCTATTGTATTGTCGCCCTTACCCCGTGTATCTGGTCCTTCAGGCTGGCAGTCCCGACCCCGCCCTCCTTGTGCGTGCTATCGAGAGGATTCACTCACGCCTCGGCAACTTTGGACGCAGCATGCTAGAAGTTCTTGGACCTGAGTGGGCGCAGCCTGAGGTAGGCGGTAACAACGGTAACGGACTACTGACGGCAGATCAATTCAAAATGCGCCTGGATGATGCTTGTCTGCAGACCCTCTTACGTGTCGTCAGTGTCTGTAGCCAACACCAGCTGCAGTTGCTTCGGCTACAAACGGCGGACTGTTTCACAGACATCCGCCACCAGCTTCTGCAAGCGGCCAGAACTGACTCAAGGTTGGCGCACATTTCAGCTCTATTAATACAGTCTCACCTCCTACTCACTCGCAAACAGTAGCAATGTTTATTTCAAATATGTGCGCCATCATTGTGATTACGTACTCCAGAATAAGAGGTTATGTATGAAACGACTACAAGACGCACCTATATTTTGCAGGTACACTTGTGTAGAATAGCTCCACCAATTGTATTTGATCCCATGGGCGGCTCCGCTCACGCAGTTTGCCATCATATTCCAAAACTACATGGTGTTGGATTTCATCATGCATTTGCCATTGGTTCTACCACGGTTCCTTTAAGCTTAGTACTGGGACATTTTATTTGTTAACGTGGGTCTGGCAGTCACCAATATCTATCGATGACACTTCACGGTTACTGATTTTTGACCACTTCGCGTCCGTCTCTACGGCTTTTAAACTCAGAGCGACTTGCGAAACGTAGGTGTCCACTTACATCGGGCCAAATATTTCCCATTTTGGGCATTGAACGCGCAGGTGAGAGCGTTTGACTAACAAACAATGGATGACTAAATAACTCGGATTCGAACCTCGAGAGTGCATCCTGGGATCGGCCAGTCGCTGACTGTCTCACGACTCAATATTCCTATCCATGTCAGTAACTTCTTTCGCGTCCTGTCAGCCGTCTGAAATTAATCTCAGACATTGTTTTTTCCTCGCTTCCCTCACAGCTCACTCCGGGATCGCGATAGCCGTGTAAGCATCACGGATATTTACCACGGTCTGAGTCGCAAATTGGTGGAGAACCTGCGTTCAACCCTTAAAAAGCTAGAGGTAAGCCTTTTTTTACCCTGATTGCCTAATTCACCTTGCCTCTGCCGGTGGCCGTTAACTTCGATTCACACGCGTCCAGCTGCTCAGCACATATATCGCCTTTCCATCTAAGTCTGTCAACCTCGCCATCCAAGAGCAGCCATACCTACCTTAGGCGACCGGCAAACGAACTGGCAGTTTGACCGTTGCGGGCGAGGAAGCCCATCCTTATTTCCAGAGTGCAGTGGGGAATCGCGCGTTTATATGTTTGCAGCGAAGCGGACTTGCCCAGCACCCACCTGCCTCATCGTTCTCGCTTGTCACTTTCTGTTGTCATGGTAAACCTGAGACAACTAGAGATCGACGCGGACGCAGTGACCGTCAAGGCTAAATATTTGCTGATAGAAGCGAACAGGCGAGCTACCGAAAGCAGTTCAGAAGAAGATGATGATGATGATGAAATCACTGGAACTAGAAGTTTATTGACCTGACGTTTCGTATTCTTACTCGAACCCATCGTCAGAGACGGTTGCAGATAAAGGCAGTGGAGGCACAAGGACTGCAGTATTTATGGTACGTAGTTGCCATACGTAGACGCTGATGACACGTCAGTCTGCGTCCAAATCGTTACTTGCCGCAATTTCATCATCCGTATTGGGTGTTGACGTAATGACTACTCGGCAAATTGGCCCGCTGTTACCGGGATAATTGATCGTCCGCACCCTCCCCACGTGACTGATTTCCCTGCTCAGGGTTATGTCTCAGTACTGAATATGGTACCGGGAGATCGTTGCACTTGTTGATGGGTTACAGGCCTGAGAACCATGACTCCAACACCTCGCATCCCACGCGGTTGTCAGCTCTTGTGAGAATTTCAGCCTATTGAAACTCAGAAATATGGCCGGGTTCCGTGGAATGAACTGCTACCTGCGAGCTGCCGTCCTTCCTCCCCACCGCCGCTGCGTGTTCGGGCATGCGCGTCCGGAGTAGTCTCCCAGTTTCTCCGACGTAGTTGCTCTGTCCGCAACTGTAATAGACCCGGTTAACGACTCTAGGCGTTTCCTGTCATGGCAGCCGTTCTTTCGGCCTCATGACTTGGCGATAAATATTTGCATCTCCCACGAGTGCTGTTCCCTACGTCCATATGAAGCAGGCTTCAATTAATGGGCGATCCCGGATCTCAAAGAAATGGAAATCTCTTAAGGTTCTTGTTTAGCAGGAGTTTATGTAGTCTGGCCACCATTCCTGAGAAGAGTCGTATTATCGTGTCAGTTGGCAACCTCCCCCTCCACGAATGTTACCTCCTCGCGGTAACTGAAGCATGTGCTCAATTGTCTTATGGCGAGGAAGCTGAGCTCTGGACCCGAACCACGTCGACATCATGGCTGAAAGCAGCGACTAGCATGTCATTAGCCTTTGTCTAAAACGTACCACAGGCATGCGCGGCCGCCACATAATATGGGTCGGTATGTCCGCACGACCGTTTGCTTACTTGACACGGCTGCGATCATGCCTAATCTAGCCGGCCTCGATGATGTCCCGAACTGTACGTCTCCACGCGTTAATATCTGTGGCAGCAGATCTGAAAAGACCAATCCATTCTCTTCGCCAACGACGAAGATCCAAGAACCACCTCCATGTCATGACGAACTGTATCGAGCCAGGTTCTGATTTGAGACGCCCTCTTCGACGCCTCCAATGGGGGTAACGGTGCCGGATCGAGGGCAGTAACACTGACCTCCTAAGGTGGACGACGAAGAACATGCCCGAACCACCTCAGTCGTCTTTCTTGGATGGCCTGAATTATCCTTGCGAAGTTGTCGCAGTATGAACTGTCTCATTTGAGACGAAGTCGGTGTACTTCACTCGAAGGATGGTCCTCAAGCAGTGGTGGTCAAATACCTCCAGTTTTCGCTCGTCCTCCACTCCCACAGCCCAGCACTCACAACCGTAGAGAAGGACAGACCGGACAGATGCATGGTGCACGCGAATCTTAGTGGTCACGTCGGGTCCATAGGCATTTTGGAAGGCTTGAGAAAACCCAGCGGGCAGCATCAATTCGGGAGACGATGCCGTCCTTACTCTGTCCATTAGACAGCAGCCTCACCCCGAGACATTTAAAACTGTCTGCTTGTTCAAGTTGACAGCCATCAATCCCGAGGAGTACCTTCTCCTGGTCAGGGATGCAGTTTGAAAACGCCTTAGTCTTCCCGGTGCTTATGGATAAACTGACCGATTTAGCGACCTTGTTCACCCGTGACGCCATAGACTGCAGATCACCAAAACTTGAAGCAAGTAAGGCAATATCCTCGACATAGTCGAGAT